GTATTTATACTGAATAAATATGAAATGTTTAATAAGTCAATTTGGAAGGAAGTCCTGTTAGTCTTGAGTAAAATTAGTCAAATATTTATTTGTTATTATACTTTAATAATATTAACTGTATTTCACATGCAAATTACAGGCTATGCCAATTGTTTGCCCCACTTGCTAAAAATTATATTCATTCACATATTTTCATATTGATTTAAATCATTAGATAATTTAAAAGAGAGAGAGAGAGAGAGTTGTTTTATCAGGGACTCCATCAGTCTCTCATGTAACCAACTGAGCGTTAAGGGTTGAATAAATCAAAGGCATGCCGTGGAGTCGGTGAACGCCAGGGATGCTTAAGGGGCTTTTGTTTGGTGCAAAAGATAAATGAGTGAACTGATAAAGTGTGTGGTTAAAAGTCAGTTAAGAGGCAGCAGGACAGATGAGGGAGATAAAAAAAAATGTCTGTCCTCTAAGGAGCCCTGTGCCCTTTGATCCATTCRATCTCATTTGCTTTGATTAATATGAGCAATCTGCCTCAGCCAGCGGCTCCCAGTAATGACTGTTACCGCTGCTGCTGGACATTTGCAGTAAAAAAGGATGGTATGCTGTTAAACACCAAAATGTAGCCTTAAAGCAGGATGTTAGGAAACATGCAGGTCATAAATGTCTGCTGAACCACCTGACGGGTCACAGGTGGAATGAAACTGTAAAATGCAGAGAAAATGTTAAAAATTATGTATGGTTTTACATTTCCACTAACTTGTTTTCCAAAAGAAAGTATRGTTTTTATTTCCCACAGATAGATGGGTATTAAAGAAGTGATTAAAGTTGACAGAGCACTCTTTATTGATTTGCAAATCTGAATTCAAACAATTTACACACTGCTGCACTCCAGTTACCATTAGGATAATTGCTCTAAAGTCTAAAATAATATCCCRTGCCATTCGATGATAACTGCGATCAGACGGACAGAAATAGGAGAAGCGATTCCCTCATCCTTCTGATATAGATTGGTCGGTGTTTTGCTCTGACTGGGCTTTGGCACCCCCTCTTTTCAGATGGATAGAGTAACCCGTCCCGCATATCAGAACACCCTGTGCACTGCTTATTTGTAGCTACGGGGGTGTGAGACACTGTATATCACTTAACATCAATGGCTTTTAATGTTTGATACAGAAACKCGCACCATTTCAAGTCCTGGGTAAGAGAAAGTGGCGAGTGGGCCCTGCATGGCCCCCCAAACAAAATCTCTGCATTCTGGGAAAAAAAAAAAGGAGGGGTGTTATAACATCCTGCAACCAGCGGAGGCCACTAAGAGACAGTGATGCTAGTCTTTAAATAAAGTTTTATGTTTTAATCTTTACTCGCAAACACCCAAACTAAACATCCCTTTTTCCATGTGCGTTTGTTTTATTTTCTCCTCTTCCCTAAATCAGATGAGAAAAACAAAAGCTTTATAGCTACATTAAATGTGCCAAACCGTGATGGATGTAATTCCCCGTCAGTTTTCGAAGGATCAGAGACAATGAGCCCTGACCTGGAGCTGAACAGCATAATGGCAGGTTACAATATTTCATTTGGCGGCCCGTCTCTCAGCGGGACCCAGGGCAGAGCTCTTAGTGGTGTTTTCTGGAAGAGGTGAGAGAGATTAAGATCAACTGTGGTGTAATCTCGGCTGACAGCCTAATGACAAATATCGTTAAGTAGCGAGGAGTGCACGAAGCCTGATGCAGCGCTGGCAGGGGGCTTAGAAGAAAACCAAAGTGAGCTAAAGAGTTTTCATCTCATCTTAAAGTCTAAATCCACCGCAGACAAAAAAAAACAGCCATTAAGCATCAAGTTGGCATGAGAGGGCTGATAAGGCCCATGTCAACATACACACACACACACACACACAACACACACACAAACACTCACACACAAAGCCACAATGTGCACACATCTTCCATCTTCAGTTAGGGATAACCTTTGACAGCCTGTCATCCTGCTGCCATTCCCATTTTGTCATCACATATTTTTTTCCCTCCTTCAGAAAGGGATAAGCAATTAATCAGATGTGAAGAAGTACCGGTAGTTTATGCTACGGGCTGATTTCTGCTGCACCTGCATAGATCCTAAAAAAAAAAAAAAAAACGACTGAGCGATGAGGTCACGTCATAGTTTACTGTAAAACAAACGGCAAAGCGTCACCTAAGCGTATTGTGGTCATGTCATGAATTCTTCATTTCAGATTTTAATGATAAACCATTTGAGAGGTGTTATGAGAGAGTGAGCAGGTATGTGCAGAAAATACACAGCTAAAAGACGCAATGATTTCAGTCGAATAATTAGCTGGTGTTAGAAGTAAAACTTTAACTGCTCTTCTTGATCTATTATTGGCAGCTATGTCTTCTGTAACCGTTACGCTAAGCACTTGTTCCAGTTCCTACATTCCGACTGTGATTATCAAGAGGATCCATGTACTTCTGCAGGAGGGAGTGGGGTGGGGTGGGGTGGGGGGACTGAGTTGAGTTCCTGCAGCTACTCAAACAGTTTATTTGTAGCCTATTGACAGGACACTGGTGCCTGTCAACAGCATGTCAGAGAGCTGGCTTCGCTGTGGGTGGAAAGTCGCCACGAGGGCTGACATTTCCCTCTTTGCTCTTCATGTTCTTCCATTCTCCTTGCACATTCCCTCTGGGAGGGTGGGGCGGGGCGGAGGGACTGTCCAGCGACCCCTCCTGTCTCCCCTCAAAGTTCTTTGCTGACAGGACATTTCCTGCAAATTGTGAGGACACGCTGAAGTGTTCTTCATTCACAAAATGGAGAAGAGTCGCAGGCGCAGAATTTCCACTAGAAATGAGTTCCAGAGTCAAACTAAARGATTCGTTGAAAGCATGAACATGGATTTGATTTAGACAAAAAGACTTAACATAAACAGAAAGGGAAGAACAGGAGGGCAGGAACAAACAAGGAGTGAAAAGGCAGCTTCTTGTTTGGACTTGTTGCAAAGCAGCAATCTAACATCGGGGGGCGGGGGGGGGGGGGGGGGGGGGGGGGGGTAGCGATGACCTCAGTGCCTTAAAATGATGTCATGCTGAGCCCCAGGCTCTGTGCGTATGTGCTCGTGTGTGTGAGCAGCGCAACTGTGGCTACCCGCATGCTGTCATTTTCTTCCTCATTTCTGATTTGCATCTACGGCTTTAAATTGTTGTGTATTTTATATCTGTACGATCTTTGTGTTCACAAGTTGCTAAAGCTTTTTTACCTTTATGAACTGGTAATTCCTCTTTCTGTCACATATGATTCTCAAGAAAACAAAACACTAGTTCATGTAATTTGGTGAGGTTTCGTGGTACAGATCACTCTTTGAACAACCTCCGTTTGGATAAACACTGTTACTATACTGTAGCTAACAGCTGCTCCAAGCTGGGCCAAGACTAATGTAGATTGTTGCCATCTTAAAACGGATAGCTCAGAAAATTCATAATATATATATTTTTCACATTATATCCTATTTATCTTGTGTCCAGGTTTTTAAGAGTCCTGCACTGTTTTCTTGTAAAAACAAGTCTTTGAACTGAACGTTTGGGGATTTTTCTGGCAAATATTCGTATTGGTTGATCTACTCTGTCCTCTCTGCCWACCTCCAGGTCTCCATCCGTCGAGCCTTGGCTCCAAGAGCTACTTTTTTATTGATTTCAAATGTCTGCAGGTTTTGAGAGCTCCCATAAAGAGTGAAAGTATTTGTGTACATTTGTATAGTGCTTTGTGTTATGAAAGGAAGAACTGGTGAAAAGTGTATTTTTTAAATAATATAAAAAATATCTCATTTATAGATTTTTACTACCTTGTGTCTGTGTTGTGGTTTTGTGTTATGACATTTGTTATATTTAACAACTATTGAAAAAAAAAATCATCATTCAGTTAAAAGGTTTAGGAGATCAGAGTCAAACACTGCCTGCGTCATCCAGATCACAGCCCTCTACATGGAAGAGGTCGAAGCCAAAACACTTTTCACAACGGGTCAAATAAAAATGAACCTGTCGGAGAGAAATATTGGCAGTCGATAATGGTACAACCGAGGTGACTGGGGGGGTCAAAAGACTTAGTCATACAGAAGGATATGTCATGTAAATGCATTGCTGTTTGTGCTTTTTCCAGGGTCCTCGTCGCTGCGTGCCTACCCCCTCCTCTCAGTCATCACGCGGCAGCCGCCCAATTTGCAGGCCCACCTGCCGCAGCCGTCCTCCCCTGGCGCGGTCCACTCGCACCTGCCCCTCATCTCCCCCCAGCCCCCGCGTGGCTCCGAGCCCTCGCCCAGCCAGACGCCGCTAAGCATCAGCAGCGAGTCGGAGACGGAGCGCAGCACGCCGCGCCTGAAGAAGCCCCGCCGCAGCCGCACCATCTTCACCGAGCTGCAGCTGATGGGCCTGGAGAAGAAGTTCCAGAAGCAGAAGTACCTGTCCACACCTGACAGGTCGGTTCCAGTTCAAACACACAAATCACTGCAGTCGGTTAAAGTAAACAATTATTGAAAAATAAATCCGGCGATTAAACAATTAACGCGTCAAATCCAGACATTTTAAAAGCAAAATGATAAAACTGTCAGATAAGATTTTGTACCCACAAAAAAGAAAAAAAAACTCTAACCTAAAATATTTTGGTGGTGAAACACAGTAATTAAATAAACTTGATGTACCAGCTACCAGAGTTATATAAGTGTCAATCATCGGGAACATTTTGACAACCTGTGTATTATAACTGGCAAAGTTCAGAACACGCACAAACGCTCAAGGACATCCACTAAAGCTGTAAACGTACCTATCAAATGGTGGTTAACTTAACCTCGTAATTTTTTTATTCATTTTTTATTTGTCCTGTGGGGAACGTCTCATTTAATGTGAATCCATGTGAGCCAGAGCATTACCTCAGATTTTCTAGTTGAGACAGGAGTAACGTTTTTCAACCCCGAGCTCTTAAAACGGCAGAAAAAAAAAGGGGGGGCCCCAACAAAGAAACACTTCCTTATTCAGGAGAACAGGGACGATGGCCAACGCAAGCAAACATGAATGTCTTACACTGATTTACAGCCAATCATGTCACTCATGTGCTGGTGGATAGAAAGGAACAATCCACAATAAGATGAAGTAATCGAAACGTTAAAGTATCTGCTTTAAATCGATGTGGGTCATGTTTGAAACCTGTCATGAGGTTATATTTTCCAGTTGTGTTGTGGACACCGCTTTCAGGCCTGCAGGCTACTTTTCCATTTTTACTAAGAGTGGTATTGAATCATAAATACAGTATATAAAGCATTCCTTCACTTTCATAGGAGTTTCAAAACTTCTTTTGAACATTTGCTTTAGGTTTAATTTTTAGTATCTCAAAACTACTTACAGTATTTTCTTATGCATGAATGAAAAAAATGCATTATTGTATTTTACACCGATTATTTGCTAATTGCAACTTTTAAGGTTTTGCAAACTGCGATGTGGTGGCGCACCACTTCCACTTTGAAAACCCTGTTTGCCTGTTTGAAATCAGTCCGATTTGTTTGTTTCTCCAGTTACATCTTACTCGTGGGTTAAAAACTCCCACAATGCATTATTAAATATATCACATCTTGGCTCGCACGTAGCTGCTTGGAAAGGTGCCACGGCTCATCTTAAAGCAGAAGCCTCGAGGCAGAGCGCCATTCAGCGATCAAACCCAACCATCCGTTTGAATAGCTGAGCCAAATTGCTGCGTCCTGTCAAAATATCCGATTCTGACACTGTGGTGGAAATTAATTAAACATCCAGCTGGAGCAAAAGGGAAAAAAAATCAACAGAGAAAAATCCCCCTTTAAACCCCACTTCAAAGGTGAGGCGTGCTCCCTGCTCTGGTTTGTTATGATCTAAAGATAACTTCACTTTTTCTTCTTCCCCKTTTTTTTTTCCTTTTTCTTTTTTTTTTTTGGCTTGGAGTCTCTTTAGTCCTAAATGCAGGAGTGTGTGTGAGGTCGAGTGTAACATAAACCCAAAATTTTCCTAAAAACATAATCATTTCTGTTATGATGTGCCTTAATGGTTTTTATGAAGCTTTCAAATGATAACTAGTTTCATCCTCATCATCATTATCCTCATCATCAATGATTTAAGAAGATTATTCAGTGAAGCACAAAATTGTCTTGTGAAAAGTGTGGGAATAGAAGAAAATAGCAGCCTTGAAGAGCCCTGCAGGGAGTGACTCAAGTACTGTTTCTGCTGTTGAAAGCATGCGGTTTCTCTCCATTGATAACTAATGAGCGTAAATAAATGTTTTTTTTTTTTCTTTTGGTGCAAGTACTTTTTCTTGCCTCCAGTTGTTACTCTGCTATAGATTGGTGCTTACATAGAAAGTAAAGTCTGACAGACGGCCTGATTGCCTGTATTAGATATTTTGGCAACACGTAAATGCACATAACACAAAATCTCTTCAAGAGCAGTTCTTTATATTTCAAGTTCCAAAAACAGCTTCGCAAATCTCAGACAAGTTTCCCCTAATGCTTAGTTGTTTTTTTTATCCTTGTCTCTGTCTCAGCTTCCACTTTCTGCCATAAAATGAAAGTCTGTTCATTTCTTCAGGGGCTGACAGAAACTTTCATCTGTTTTAAAATCCTTTTGAAGAGCAGGGAAGAGGAAATCCCACTTAATGAAAATCAATAACCTTTCCTTTGCCATACACATGGATTCCTTGTTAACTTTATCTGTCTCTTCCTGCAGGTTTTGCATTACACACCAGCCAATAACCCAATTAGTTACGCGCCGCCACATGTGGTGGATACATTCACGACAGCCCCAATCATCCAGCTTGAAGTGTTACTGTCTTCAGTGAAGATATTTTAAGTACAACTCTTTAGCAGTGGGCATCAAAATCAAGATTCAACATGAAATTATGCAAGGGGCTAAAATCAAAGAGCCATTTCTTWAAAAAATTAGATTATTACAACTAAGTTCAGCCAAAGTGCAATAAAACAAGTAGTTATGGAAATCACACAGGGACTAATAATTTATCAATATGTATTTATTATTATTTCATATTACTGGAGTGTTTTTTTTATTTTTGTCAGTGTAAAGATGTCCAAACCAATTTTTTTTTTCATGTGACTGATCTGCAGCTTGTTCTGTCTGTTATCCTGCAGGTTAGATTTGGCTCAGTCTCTTGGCCTCACACAGCTTCAGGTCAAGACGTGGTACCAAAACAGGCGCATGAAATGGAAGAAAATGGTAAGTTTGGTTTTGTTTGAATAATACATAATGTTTAGAACACATATTTTTACAATTGTTTTCAAGACCTTTTTTGTTTGTTCACAAATTGCTCAGACGAGTTAAATTCAGTAGGACTTTTAATTTACTGACTTTTAGCTAAACTAAAAATAGCATTTTTTAAATTTGCTTTTAGTTTAGTTTACAACAATATATTTGGATCACCCAGAAAATTTAAATAGAGGAAGAATGTTTAATTAGTTTTCAGTTTTAAAATTAAAGTCAAAATGTTAACACGTATAAAAAAGGAAATATTTCAAGAATAAAGTCAAAATGACAAGAATGGTTATTTTAAGATTAAGAAACAATTATGCATTAATACAAAGACCTACAATACTCATATGCTTTTAGTYAACAAGCATACTTTTTTGTCCAGAATGTCTTAAAAATTATAATTTAGCTGAAATTAGATTTGGTAATAATTCTAGTACTTTTAAGAAATCATGCTGTAACTTTAATCTGAAGCTGTACACAAATTTTGAATAATTTCTCAAAATTTCTAGCATTTTACTTTTTTTAACCAGAAAACAACCACATTAGTAGTAGCATTAGAAGTAGTACTACTAACAACAACAACAACCATAACAACAACCATAACAACAACAACAACAACAACAACAAC